CACCAAGTCAGAACCTTGGTTATGCTTGTTGGTAATCACATTCTGAGGCAGCATTACAACTGCATGATTACACCCAGTTCATACTTCATTTAAGAACCTAAAAAGGACAACACAGATCTGTTAAAGTGAATTAAAGAAATCTGGAAATAGAATTATGAAGAGACCAAATGTAACCGTAGATAAACTGGAATTACAACTAGTCAGCTGCAGATAGTCAGCGTGAATGTAGATTTCAGTTTAAGAAACACGTGAAATTAAAAGTAATTTGTCCTGGAAACAGAGATATTTCCACAGAATCAGTGTTTAAAGTAAAGCTCAGCTGTAACATCACGATGTATTCAGAGTCACAAACTCTCTGTCTGTCTGTTAAAACACAGCGACTACACTGATCAGTTAGCACATCTATTGATCTTCAGTATTCGTAATGTCATTGTAAACTCACTGATCATCTGATCTGTCTCATCTGATTCTTAAAAGTTACCCTGATCTGGAGCAACTTAGGTTACTACGCTGACCTACCTGGTTACCACAGTGACCTACCTGGTTACCACGCTGACCTACCTGGTTAAACTACTTTGCTCTGATTGGTTGAGGATGTGGTGCTGCTCTGTGATACTCACTCCTGTAGCGGAAGGAGAACCTGGACCTCCATTTGTACTTGTTCCTGAAGCTCCAGAAGCCCTGTGGTGTGAAGGCCGAAAGGCGGCGCATCATCGGCTGCCCGCCTAGTCGAGTCCAGACGCTCCGCCTCCTCCTCAGGTGCTGCCTCACCCTCTGAGGCCCGTCAGCCTCCGACAGAAAAACGACAGCTGAACTCAGCCTGCAGCGGCAGACAGGTGACCTGTTCACCTGTCTGCAGCCACTCACCTGTGGGTGAGGCAGTGATGACAGATCTCTGTTCACCAGCCGGACTTGCGGCAGTGACCTAGACACTATCCTCAGCGCCGGGTCAAAGGGCCTTTTTCTGGACCGGGTCAGCTGGTCCACCAGCACCTGAGAGAAGCTGATGGACACTAAATATTTCAGGAGGTGATGAATCAGGTGATGATATTATAACAACAAATGTGAAGGTTTTAGAACCCAGAAACATCACAAGTTGTTTTTATTCAGCACATTTATAACAGCAGCTGTGCTTTCCAGCAAAATCCATTCTGACGAACCTTATGAATGAACCAAACAAGTTTAAATAGTTCAGACTCTACAGTGGTATTTATGGTTTGATATTAACCTGAGAAATTTACGTATTAAAGATTACAACCCAACAAAAATGATCAAATTACTACTTGACAAGACTAATAACTATCAGCCCTGAGACCCTCAGTGTCATTCATTTTAGAGACTACTCTGGAGCTAAAGCTTTAATTTTACTTAAACATACACAACAGTCAGATCCTCAATGATCCAATCATAAATCAGTGTTTGTCCACACTTTTTTTTTTACAAGAATTTAAGAAGGGAAATGAGAGAAATGAAGTTGTGCGTCTCACCGCTCGTTGAGAGAAATCCTGGAGGTGCCTGTGAGGTGAAAGGAGCCCGGCACTGACGAAGCCATCCTCCGCTTCTCACTCGGTCTCCTGCGACACCAAACTTCAACGGCTGAGCCGAACCTCGTCTACCTGCGGGTTTACTTCACACAGATACACGTTTCTCTCAGCACAGCGAAGAAACAGGAGTTTAAATCAGCTGCAGCTCCAACGACCTCATGTCTACAGACACATCGGCACCAAACACGACTTCTGAAAACGTTTCACAAACGTCGGTTTGCGCCCATCAACACTTAAAACTTTCACCGAGCGTCACTTTGGCCCCAACACAATCCGTTAAAAGTGGACTTTAAGGCCACACAGACTCACCAGTATCAAACTTTAGTCGGTTAACTTTTAATTTTGCCGACGAGCACCGACATGAAGAGCTTCACCGATTTTCAAAGCAGGATCCGCAGCCATGTTCTCTGCGTTCAATAGCAGCGCGTTTTGAATTTGCGGCTAAAGTTAGCTTCCAAATCTCATATTTTCCGGTGGTATGAGCGTTTTTGTTGAATTTAAAACTAAAGAAGCTCTCGAACACGGGTAGACACACCTGCACTGTCCCTGGACACACCTGTTGGCGCTCATTAGCTGCCTGAGCACGATGCTAACGTGCTAACTGTCGTTACTGTTAACTCCACAGAGCCCGTTAGCGTTAGCAGTCCGGCTAAAGCTAAAAAAAAAAAAATCTTTATGGAAATTTTCAGCTCTGCAGGTTTTATAGTTTTAGATTTATAAACTAACAGTGTTAATTGAAATGCAAAGTTAACCAGCTGACTGGCTGCTTCACCTGTCCTGATCCTCCGGTGTGCAGCTCACACTGAGGCCGTGAAGTGAGTCTGAAAGATTCTGTAAGAGTCACAGTATATCTGTCTGTACATAAACATACACACACACACACACACACATACAGTAAAGTCAAAAGTTTGGACACACCTCATTCAGTGTTTATTTATTTATTTATTTCCTTTTCCACATTGTAGATTAATACTGAAAACAACAAGACGATGAAAAACCACATATGGATTATGTTGTAAACAAAAAAGTGTTCAACAAACCAGAATATGTTGCTCTGATGACAGCTTTGCACCCTCTTGGATTTCTCTCAATCAGCTTTATTAGGTCCTCTCATCCCAAACCATTTCCATTGGGTTCAGGTCAGGTGATTGTAGAGGCCAGGTCATCTGATGCAGCACTCCATCACTTTCACAGCCCGGAGGTGTGTTTGGGGTCATTGTCAGGTTGAAAAACTAATGATGGTCCCAGTAAGCATAAACCAGATGGGATGCTGTGGTGGCCTTGTTGGTTAAGCGTGCCTTGAACTTTGAGTAAATCACCAACAGTGTGACCAGTAAAGCCCCCCCCCACCATCACACCTCCTCCTCCTCCAGGTTTCACGGTGGGAACCACACATGCAGAAAACATCCGCCAACCTTCTCTGTGTCTCACCAAGACACAGCAGTTGGGACCAAAAATCTCAAATTTGGACTCATCAGACCAAAGTACAGATTTCCACTGGTCAAATGCCCATTCCTTGTGTTTCTTGGCCCAAAAACATCTGTTCTTCTTGTTGTTCATCCTCAGTAGTGGCTTCTTTACAGCAGCTCGACCATGAAGGATTCATACAGTCTCAGTTGATGTTGAGATTTGTCTGCTGCTTGAACTGTGTGGAGAATTTACGTGGGCTCTAATCTGAGATGCTGTTGATTTGCGGTTTCTGAGGCTGACAACCCTAATGAGCTGATCTTTCTGTAGTAGAGGTAACCCTTGGTCTGTCCATTCCTGGGGCAGTCCTCATGAGAGCAAGTTGGATGGTGATCGAGCGACCTTCCTTTCTTAAAGTAACGATGGACTGTCGTTGTTCTTTGCTCAGTTAAGTGTTTCTTACCATACTACGAATTACAACAGCAGTCAGGTAAGGCTATCCACTGTGCACTAACCCTACCTCTACACAACACAGCTGAGGATCTCAAACACATTAAGAAGGCAATTAAATCCACATCTTGACTCATGACAAGACACACCTGTTAATTCAAAACCATTTCAGGAGACGACCTCATGAAGCTGATTGAAAGAACGCGAAGAGTGTGCAAAGCTGTCATCGAAGCAAAAGGGGGGCTACTTTAAAGAATCTAAAACACATTCTGCTTTGTTTAGATTTTTTTTGTTTACAACATAATTCCATTTGTGCTTTTTCATACTTTTGATGTCTTCAGTATTAATCTACAATGTAGAAAATAATTAAGATAAATAACAACCACTGAATGAGAAGATGTGTCCAAACTTTTGATCGCTTTGGAACAAATGTAAATCATTTTCACCATTTTATATTTTTTTTATCACTTTAATGTGTTTTTTAATAATTCTGATTTAAAAAATTGACTTCTCATGATTTTTTTTTTTAAATTACTAGAAATGTATTACATTTTTGAACACATTTAATACATTTTCAATAAAATATTTTTCATAATTTTAATAAAACTAAAAGTTATACATGTTGGTTTAACAGTAGGAAAAAAATCCCTTTTAAACACATTGTAATGGTTTTCATGGTTTAATATTACTATTTTTCAAGTCAAAGCTTTAACTACTTCCACAATAAAACCTATGTATAAATGTATGACAATACATATTTATTTAATTTGTAAAGAAACTATACGTATATATTACATAAATATATAATTTAATGAAAAATAGCATATATAATAATATAATGTATATATTTATATTGAAAATAAAGTTAATCCTATGCCTAGGTAACAAGCTATGTCGATGAAAATGACTTGTGAGGGGAATGATGCCTCTTTAACAAATGTTTAATTTAGTTCAGTTTTCTTTTGTAAACACTCGTTTCTTTCTTCTTGTTATTAGAGTTGTTGTTCATGTCAGGGTGAACCAAGGTAAGACACCCAACATCAGATAAGATGACATAATCCTCCATTAATCCCACTGTGGTGAAATCTGCAGTGATCCAGCAGCAGAGGGGAAAAGTGCCAAAATAGTCACAAGAAGACAAAAATGAAAACATACATAAGTACACCAAGAACAGGTTTTCTTTTTTCAAAAAAGATAAAATATATATATTCTTCGAGAAACAATATGTTTAAAATATATAAATATATTTTAAAATATTCTATGTTTTTAAACGAAACTATATTAAAATATATTTATATATTTTATATGTATATATGTTTAATAAAAAACACAAATAAATAATTACAAAATATATTTTATTTTTTAATTAAATAAAATAGAATATGTGTTCTTAAGTGGCGCGTCTCACCCAAGTTTGTTCGACGTCAAGAATGAATGTAATGATGTAAAATGTAAGAAGCTGCAGAAGAATAAAAATAAGAAAGAGGAGTTCCCGAAGTTTATTTTGCATGTACTCTTATTGTCGTAAGGCCCAGAGGAACCAGACTTCCTGTTATGTCTGGCTGTCTGTGACCCCCCCACCTCACCATCCTCCCCCTCCTCCTCCCGGTGAGACTCAGACCGTCTGGATCAGACGGAGGACACACCGACACACCGAGCTCCGGTCCCACCGACAGCAGCAGCGGATCTCAGCCGAGCGGAGAGCGCCGAGTCCCGGTGAGTGAAGCTGCGGCTGCCTGCTGAGACTCCGGAGCTTTTTATCAGGACAACTGTTGATGCAGCGGAGACAGTTGGAGCTTCACACGGACGGAGAGACAGACAGACAGACGGAGAGACAGAAAGACAGACAGGCAGGCAGACAGACAGTCTGTCAGCGGCTAGTGACGTCACTGATCAATCACGGTGACGTCATGTTATTGACAGTTTATTCGTCTGATCAGAAATTAATGAAGGTTCACAGGATGTCATGCCTGTCTGTCTGTCTGTCTGTCTGTCTGTCTCCGGTTTTTTTTGTGGACAGTTTGTTCAGCACTTTGAACATTAATGCAGACTGCTATATGTACATGTAATATGTACAGTGTGGTTCCCTCCAGTGTTCCTCACAGGTTCCTTTATGTTCCAGTGTAGGTCTGCAGGGGCAGGTAGGTCTCAGAGGACTGCAGGGTTTCGTTTCAGGTGCTCTTTTTATGTTAATTATAAGCTGCCTGTTCAGCAGGGTTCTGCGTGTAAACATTTTGTTGGCTTTATGATGAGTAGAACCACAGCGAACCATTATTTCGCTCTGGATGATTCTCTGGAGGAACCAAACAGCTGTTTGATCTCTAAAATGGTGAAACATGTGGATCACTGTTTCCTTAAATGTCTTGTTTGATATTCAGTTAACTGTCATAGAGGAGGAAAGAAAGCAAAAAACATTCACATCGAAGAAGCTGCAAACAGAATTTAGACAGTTTTTATTAAAGCTCAGGATTCATGCATATCGCTCTCTGTCTGGATTTAAATTAGATTTTTTTTTGTATAGGGTCTGGTAGGACCAGATATTGGGTTGTGGATAAAACAAGATGTTTATCAACTTGGACTTTGGGGAACACTGATGTATGTTTTCAGCTTTTTCTGACATCTTAGAGAACAAACTGATTAATTCATCCAGAAAATATTATTTAAAAAACGTATTTGTCACAGCGTTTGACTGAACCTTCATCACACCAAAGTCCATTTTAAAAAGTTCCAATTTAAAGCCAGACAGACAACATTATGGATGAACCCTGATTTTTAACTCTGACTTGGTCACCTGCTGCAGATTTTTTAGCTTTAATGCTACAGTATGAAACACTGATCGTCAGTGGTCCCGTTCACATCGTCTTAACGTTGCATTGATTCTGATCATTTATTGAAAGTCGCTCTACCTGTATCTTCTGATCAATAATCAGAACACAATGACTCCGTGATATCAGGGGCCACAGCAGCAACAGAACCTCCATCTGAAATCCTTGCATGGAGCCCGAGGCCTCCGCCTGCTCTGCTGTACATTCTGAAGGCAGAACGAACCTGAAGGTTTTTATCTTGTTTTCTTCGTGATCGAACATCTGTTTCATCGTTTTAATTTTAGTGAAACTTGTTCCATTATTAAGATATGTTATGTTTATCTTGGATTTATACTGGATTGTTCACATCAGATTTTAATTTCCCATATGTAAAACTGCACAGACCGTACAAATAATAATCATCAATCAATGGAAATATCATAAACTAACTGTCATATGGTGAACTGGGAGCCTATGGGGCTCTGCAGCAGTCTCTGATAGAAACTCTTTTATTTTGTTTCACAAGTCAACTCAGAAAAACCTCTGAAACCAACTTTTATCCTCATAATCAATACGTCTGACAGGTTCATTATTCTGTGCAAAAATGTCAGAAAGTTGTCATAAACAGATTCACATCCTAAAACTCAGAAATGTTGAGTTTACTGTCAGTAAACTGAGAAACCAGCAAATATTCACATCAAAAGCTGCAGCAAATTCTAATTTTGAGAATTTTACGGATTTTATTCTTCAGAAACACCATGAAATCAATATTATATTACACTTTCTGATATGGACTCATGGGATGTTTTTATGGATTTGTCAGCATGTCACAAACAGAGAACGTTCCTACAACATCTGCTAACGTTACCTACAAGTTCTAACTGTGTTTTAAAGTAGTAATCTAATGTTTAAAGAACGTCTTAAGAATATTTATCATTTCAATATCGTTCCTATGGGGCACTTTTAGACTTTTAGCTGCAATGTTCAGAGAACGTCGGGACAAGGTTCTCAGAATCATAGATTATGCTCTATGATGACAAAAGAGGGTTTTGGTTGTCGAGACCTGTCATGATATTTATAAAATGTTCCTGTATGTGATCATGTAACATGATATATTAACAAAGATGGAACATTTAGCTGCAATGTTCCTTTGAGAATGTCGTTGAGAAACACATTTTAGAACATTCTTATGTAAAATGTTTTTCTAATGATAACAAAAGAATGATGTTCTCAGTGCAACTTTCAGAAAACATTTTCTAAACATTATCGAGGCCTCAGATGACAGAACGTTTTTAAAATGTGTCTGTACTGTGATATAGCAAAGGTAGAACATTTTGCTTTTGGTTGAGGGAACATATTATAGAACCTTCCTTATAAAAACAATTTCCAAGTGATGAAGGATGAAGGATGAAGGATGTTCTTCATGAAACTTGTGGAAATCGTTAAGATGTCATTGAGGCATCACATATCAGAACATTCTGACGTTACTCTAATGTGATGTATTAACAAAGGTGGAACATTCTTCCTGCGATGTTCTGAGGAAGATTAGGGGATGATGTTGAGGGAGCCCATTGTAGAATTTATAAGACGTTCCCACAATGTTTGATGATAACAACGTAGGAATGTTCTCAGTGCAACATTCAGTTTCAGAACGTTAGAGCATCATGGCCGAGCAGTGTTAGTACGAAACGTTTTAGAACATTACTTAGAACTTTAGTTGTCCTGAATAAAATTTAAAAAAAAAAAAAAACATTCTGAGACCTAAACAAAAATGTCTCACTGAAAAAATTGGGACTTGCAGAACTTTCTCAGAACATTTGTGGAACATAACATTCTAGCTGATAAGTGACAACATGCTGCAGCTGATTTAGAATTCAACTTTTGATATTTCGATGTTCAGTGTTTCTGAGTCACAAATATTATTGATTGGTTATTGATTAACCTGCTGTTATTTTCTGGATCAATAGTTTGACTTGAAAAACGTAACAAAAACACTGTGATATTCACAGATTTAACTTTGTGACTTTGAACGCATTTTACACTGAAAACATCAGCAGAGAAATGTGATGTTGGTTCTGTCCATCCTCCATCAGGTGAGCATGTCGGTGCTTGGCTCCGCCCCCAGCAGCGCCGACGCCTGCCTCAGCATCGTCCACAGCCTCATGTGTCACCGGCAGGGCGGCGAAAACGAGGGCTTCGCCAAACGCGCCATCGAGAGCCTGGTGAAGAAGCTGAAGGAGAAGAAGGACGAGCTGGACTCACTCATCACCGCCGTCACCACCAACGGAGTCCATCCCAGCAAGTGTGTCACCATCCAGAGAACGCTGGACGGACGGCTGCAGGTAGGACGACTAGAAGGTTCCACTGGGTTCAAAATGTTCTGAAGGAGTTTTTCAGGAGGACTTAAACTGATCCATGTGAACTCCAGTGGTTCTCAGAAATGCTTCATGGAGTTGTATTTGAAAAAAGATAATCCAGTTGGTTATTAAAATGCTTTGAGGGTTCTTAAGAGCACTGCAGAGGTTCTTGAAGAGGTTCTAGATGTATACGGAGGGGTTTTGTGGTTCCAAACAAGTGTTCCTACCTCTGAAATTCCTACTGATAAATGCCAGTAAAAACCTTCAGAACCTGACAAGGACAATTTCAGAGCGGAATTAGAGGAACAGCTCTGGTGCTTTCACTGGTTCTTGAAAAGTTTCCAGGGGTGCTTAAGAGACAGCCGTGGCCTTAGAGGATGATGGCTTTGGGTCTGAGGTCTTTGGACAGGTTTATAATGTTCTTCTGGAAATCCTTGTAGTTTCAGTGGATTATTCAGAAGGTCTCAGGTCGTTCTAATGAGGTTTTATTGAAAAACAATTGTGGTTGAAGGGGTTTATGTATTCTTAAAAACATTTCAGGGCATCTTGAAGAAGTTATATAGACTGGAGATGGTTCTGTGGTTTCTAAAAACACTTCATAAGTTTACTCAGGGAGTTGTGTGGTTCAAAGGAAGAATCCTAGTTCTTGAACAGGATTGGCATAATCCAGAGGATTCTTAAGGGCTTTGGGATTCTAAATTAAGTTTTCAGAGATGTTTGTAAGAATTAGGAGCTGAACATCTGAAGATACTTGACATGGTTCTTAAAAAGGTTTCAGGGGGTTCTCAGGAACCTGTTGTGGCTGCCATTGGCCTTGAAGGATGATACCTTTAGGTCTGAAGGTTTTTGACACAGGTTCAGAATGTTCTTAAGGTACTTCCAGGGCTACTTAAGCAGATCCTCGGAGATTCCAGGGGTTCTCAAAGATGTTCCAGTCTGTTCTAATGAAGTTTTACTAGAAAACAGATGAACAGTGATTTAGAATGCTTCAGAGAACCTTTAAGAGGTTCAAGGTGCACTGGAGAGGGCTTTGTGGTTCCAAAGAAGGGTTCCTTTTACTTTAGTAGGATCCCGATAAGGTCCAGAGGTGGTTTGGGGTCTTGGATTAGGTTTTATGGAGAGATTCCTGAAGGATAAATGAGTATTTACTTGTTAGGTTGAGAACAGCTCTGATGAACTTCTAACTGTCCTTGAAATGGTTTTACTGGTTCTTGAAAAGGTTGAGGGGTTCTTGGAAGGCTGATGTGGCCTTAGGCTGCAGGTAGAACTCTACAGGGACACAGTGGAGTCAGATGTCAGAACAGGTAACCAGGTGAATAACAAGTCTGGCAGACTGAGCTTTTTATTGTGTAAATGAACTTTGCCCAGTTCCACCTGATCACAGGTGAGTTTACATGTGTGTTCTCCTGAGGTTCAGGTGTTACTTGCTGGGTTCTAGGTTCCATGTGTCTCTGATAATAACATGGTGTGTAGCAGCAGACTGGGTGTGTCTCACTGTCACAGTAATTATCAGACCAGAAGACGTAAGCATGGATAAGTCTGTAGCAGGAGCCATCAGACCCACATCAGAGCCTTTTAAGTTCCAGCTGAGCTCCTCTGAGAACCCCAGCAGCTCCACCACTTAGAGCCTTTTTAAGGAACCAGTAGAATCATCTCAGGATTTCAGAGGAACAGCTCTGATGGTTTCACTTCTTCTTTAAAGGGTTCCAGGGGTCTTCATGAGACAGCTGTGGCTGGGTAATGGCTTGGGGGAGGAGATTTTAGCGCAGATTCAAAATGTTCTTCAGGAGATCATTGTATTGTCCACTGGTTCCCAAGAAGGTTCACTAGTTTCTGAAAAGGTTCCAGGAGGTTCTCTGGAGAATGTTGTGGCCTTAAAGGACAACAGTTAATTATTAAGTAAATGTTTTAGGTCTGAGGTTTCTGGACAGGTTTAAGATGTTCTTAAGGAACTCCCAGAAGTACTTCAGTACTAAAGGGTTTCCTGTGAAGTCCACGGGTTCTCAAGGAGGCTCTAGAATGTTTGAATGAAGTTTTACAGGAAAACAGTAATCCACATGGTTATTAACAACTCTTCTGTTTATTTTGAAGAGATTGTAGGTGTACCGGATGAGTTTTTAGTGGTTCCTAAGGCCATTTTAATGACTCTGATGGTTTAGTCAGTCCTTAAAAGATGATGGCTTTCACTCTGAGATTTTGGACAGGGGCCGACTGTTCTTAGGGAGCCTCCAGGAGTACATAAGGAGATCTGTGTGGAGTCCAGGGTTTGTGAAGGAGGTTCTAGGCTGTTCTGATGAGCATCCTCCTCCTCCTCCTCCTCCTCTGGGTGAGGAGGAGGAAGCTGTCGTGTTGTTTTGTCTGGATCACAGGAAGTGGGTGGAGCAAAGTGAAACCAGACGGAGTGTGTGTTTGTGTGTGAACACGTGTCTCTGTGAGGACCGCTGAGGGTTCCTCAGACTCTGGTTCTCTGTGTGGGACTTTCTGAGGCTCCACATGTGGTTCCAGGATTTTGGTCAGAACCAGGTTCACAGAGACAGAAGGAGACAAATGTTCTGTGAGCCAGTTTGTTCAGAGAGTTCCACTTTTCTGCTGAAATTGAGCTTAAAGGATTCTAATTTAGAGAGAGGCAAAAAGCACAGAAAAGTTAGTTGTGATAACTTATGTTCCTTTTATCTTTCATCTCTGTCATGATTTCAACTTAATAAGTCACATATTTGACTTTTTATCACATCATTTTGCTCTTTTCTCATGGCTTAGGTTCAGTAAGACAATGTTTGTACTTCATATCTCTAGTCTTAGTTGATAAATTGAAGATTTAACATCAATATATTTGCTTTAGTTGTGACTGACTGCTGTTTACCTCCTGAAATAAGCTTAGTATCACATTTCATTTTTCTCCTTAGTGTCTTTTCTGTCTGCAGGTTTTTGTGCTTCCAGCTCTTTAACAGATGAAGAGATAAACACTTCTTTATTTTCTGTCTGCCTGGATTCAAACCACAGAAGTTGTTCCTGAATGTGTCATCAGGTGGAAATATTCCACATGTTTTGTGCATCATTTTGCAGAAATGAAGTCTGACGTGTTTTCTGTGTTTGGAAAGTTTGCAGTCAAACTGAAAAACTTGATTGATTGTGTTTTGTTCTGAGGTTTGGATGCAGTTTGTGAGTGAACACGGTAACGTCAGGAAACAGAAACAGATTTTATAAAACTCTTACTGAGAGCAAAGATCACAAAGAGCTTTTTCAGGATGAATAAGCAGGATAAATCAAATTCAGCAGGATTGTACACAATGGTTCCAGTAAAAGGACAATTTCAGAACAGTAGAACAGACAAGCTGCAGAGTTAAACTGGTTCTTCTGGAGGTCTGTCAGATTCAGGCTGCAGACTGATGCAGTGTGTGTCCATGTTGTGTCTGCAGTGTGTTATCCTGCCCTTCACCTGTGAACACACAACACACTGCACTACAGCCAACACACATTAAGGGCGATTAAACTTCCATATTACCGACACACTGCGTCATCAAAGGCCAGTTTCATTCTGAGTTTAAACTTTAATTTGATATTTCTGACCTTATTGTTTTCACTCCAAGACAGAAATAGGATGCTTCAGTTTTACGCAAAAACTTCAGAACAGCTGCAGATACTGAGCTGCTGTTGACTATCAGATAAAAAACATCAGGCTTAAATATCACTCATCAATATGTTTTGACTTTAAAACACACAACAACAACAACAACAACAACAATACGAATTGTTAATAGCAGATACTGTAAACGTGTTACAGTGAACACAGATCAGACAGTCTAAACGTGTTACAGAGAACACGGATCGATCATCTGCTCCATGTTCTCAGTAACATGTTTAAAGTGCAGCAGACAGAGCAGGACTTTGTGCAGCTGAGGTCAGACATGATGTCATCATGGTGGTTTGTCCTCATGATGTAACTCTGACACACACACCGAGCACGCACGTACGCACACACACACACACACACACACACAAAGACACCCACAGTGTTTCCATGGTTACCTCTGCTCTCCATGACTCAGTTTGTTCTCACAGAGTATATTTAAATTTCCAAAACGGATGTTTCTGTCTCACCTGTCGGTCAGTATGTCTGTCTGACTCAACTGTCTGTCTGTCTGACCTTTTTGTCTGTCTGTCTGTCTGACTTGCCGGTTTGTCTCACCTGTGCAGGTCGCAGGCAGGAAAGGTTTCCCTCATGTGATCTACGCCCGTCTGTGGCGTTGGCCCGACCTCCATAAGAATGAACTCAAACACGTCAAGTTCTGTCAATTTGCCTTCGACCTCAAATACGACAGTGTGTGTGTCAACCCCTACCACTACGAGAGGGTGGCGTCGCCCGCCGCCACAGGTAACACTGGATACACACCTGACACACACCTGGAACACATCTGGAACAGACCTTCTGCAGTCACATCAGTGCTCATGTCTGATCGGTCCACAGTAAAGATGACTTATACTGTCATAGTGCCTCCAGAGGCAGAACCTGGAACTGCAGAACATGCGGCTGCATATTTACCTGCGTTTCAGTCTGAAGCTGACGGTCCACTGAAGGCTGGATGTCTGTTGTGGTTCCTGCAGCTCTGATGGAACCACAGCAGCAGCTCTGAGCAGTGTTTGTGTTTCAGTCTGTCCTCTGAAACAGAAACAGTCACTGTGTTTAGTCTGAGTGTTATTTCTGTCGCAGCACTCTGAGAACACATCAGGAACACCAACAGAACATCTAAAGGCAAAGCGTAGTTCCTGGATTTGAAGGTTCTGTGGAGCTCAACAGAACATCGCTGCTCAAAGTGAAGCTTTGTGTTGCTGCTCTCAGACTTCATTAATCCTCCTTCAGTTACTCATCACTTCATTGTACCAGACTGAAGCTGGAATTCATCCCAGATACACAAAAATGTGACACTAAAAGGCTTCAGCTGGTTGTGATAGTTTACTGGTTGAGCTTGTGTTCTATCTGCTCTCAGATGTACGTCGCTTTGGATAAAAGCTTCTGCTAAATGAAATGGTAGAATTGTAGAATTGTAGCTGCACAGTTAATCAAACATCAATCATGATCCATCACATTGCAAAATCAGTTTCTTTGTGGTTTACTTTTTCCCCTTTGACTTTGACTTTTTATCTCATATTTTTAAAAAGAAATCCAAATTTTTATTTTTTTCCTCAAAAATTTTACCAAAAACTTTTTTCTTTACTTCTATTAGACTTTTCTTGATTTTCTGACTTTTAGTCAGAATTTTTATTTATTATTTTTTTAATAATTCAGACTTTTTCACATTTTTCACGTTATTTTTATTTTCTTCCTTCTTTATAATTTTGACTGTTTTCTCTGCCAAGGTGAGAGTCGAGGTTCAGGTCTGTTTTCAGTGTTGCCTGTGTCAGATAAACTCACCTAGTTTCAGGCAAATGTGACATCAGAACTCCTTGTGTGACTCTGTTCTACCTAATGCTTGGTCTCTCAGCTGCTGCAGTAACTGATGGAGAACAGAGGCTTCACTGTCTGTGAGGCGTTTAGGGAAAATCTGGAAACTGCAACATCTACTAATGACTTTGAGGCATTTAGGGAACACCTGGAAACTGTAGTGTCTGTAGATAAGTAGGTTCAGTTTAACAGATGCTCTGAGTTCAGTTGAATATCATCTAAAGATGATGACAGTCCCCCCCTCCGCCCTCCCCGTCTTCTTTCAGGTCCTCAGTCTCTGATAAAGGAGGAGTTCATGCAGGACTGTCTGCAGATCGACCTGCCCCCCCACACAGACCCCTACAGCCAGCCCCGCCCTGGCAGCATGTATCCCAGCATGCCTCTGTCTCCTCCAGGTCAGTGTGGAGTGTCAGCCTCTCAGAGCGGTGAGTTCAGGTGTTCGGGTGCGTTAATGCTGCTGTGTCTCTGCAGGTAGCAGCTCCATCACACCTGCCGGGGGTGTCAGCGGGGGGGTGGGCGGGGCTCCTGATGGCCCCGGGCTCCTGCAAATCGCCCCCCCTCACAACCATGGTAACCGGACCCCCCCGCCTCACCTGAACCCACCTCACCCTCCTCACCCTTCAGCCGCCGCCTCTCCCCACCAGCAGAGCCCCGAGTACAGTGGCCCCCCCAAACCTGGTACTGGATCAGTACTACATCTGTACAGCCATTTGCAGCAATAGTAACTGTAGCAGTAATGGCAGTTATACTAGTAGTATAAATGCTTCCAGGAGCAGTAGGACTACTTGTATTAGTACTAATGTCTGTTATTGTATCAGTAGTATTATCTAACAGATACCTGATGTGTGTCTTGTGTCTCTGCAGTCACCTGGTCAGGTAATAGCCACGCCCCCTATAGCCCTGCAGGACCTCAGCACAGTGGGCGGAGCCACCAGCAGCAGGCGCCGCTACATCATCATCACCACGCCCCCAACACACACTTCTGTATGACATCATGTGATGACTAACATCAGTGAAGAATTACTGCGATTTATGTAGTACTGTGTGGCTGCTGTAGCACTGAGTGTGTGTTTTCCTTCAGGGTCGCAGCATCACAGCACTGCTCCGTATCCTCAGCCGGTGTCCAACCATCCAGGTGAGACACCTGTCCTCAGACGTTCTCCTCTGTCTGTCCTTGGCCTCATGTCTGTGTTTGTCCTGCAGGTCCAGAGTTCTGGTGCTCCATCTCCTACTTCGAGTTGGACGTTCAGGTGGGTGAGATGTTCAAGGTCCAGTCCAGCTGTCCTCTGGTGACCGTGGACGGTTATGTGGATCCTTCAGGTGGAGATCGGTTCTGTTTGGGGCAGCTGAGCAACGTCCACCGAACCGCTGCCAGCCACCGCGCCAGGTGATCAGTCCGCCCAGTCTGAACCAATCGGCTCAGTCTGACCAGCAGGAGAAGCTGTATCTCGGCTGGAATTATATTTAAAGCGAGTGTTGGTGTCCTTTAGGCTCCACATCGGTCGGGGGGTGCAGCTGGAGTGTCGGGGGGAAGGAGACATCTGGATGCGTTGCCTTAGCGACCACTCAGTATTTGTCCAGAGCTTCTATCTGGACCGGGAGGCGGGCCGAGCGCCAGGTGATGGAGTTCATAAGATCTACCCTGGAGCTTACATCAAGGTGAGTCAGTGTGAACAGCAGCTCTGTTTTTCATCCTCAGTGTGTTTAGAGTTTACACAACGAAGAAGCTGAACTGTGTGTTGCTGAGACACTGAAGGAAACATAAAAACTGTCATCTGCCTTTGTGTCACCCGTCTCGCTGCAGGTGTTTGACCTGCGACAGTGCCACAGACAGATGCAGCAGCAGGCAGTAGCAGCTCAGGCAGCTGTAGAGACTCAGCCGGCTGTTGTCAGTTCGATCCCTGGTCAGAACAGTTTGGGAGGAATTTCACCTGCTGCCAGTAAGTATCACCTGAAATCAGCATAATACAGTATACACGTAGGGAATCTGTCAGAAAGAGGAGCACCACCTGCTGGACAGATGTTAGTACATAATACAATTCTCCAAAAATAAAACGTTTCTGAAAACCAGATTCTATAAAAACCAAAAACTTCTTCCCTCCTGGTTCCAGCTGATTCTCCAGGACAGACTCAACTGTAGCCAACAGTGAAAAATTCAGAGAGTTTCCAGGTGAAGTGCTGGCAGTGTTTTAACAAAGCAGAGACGAGATGACGAGAGACTGAGAGGAAGATCTAACCTATATCAATAAAATAAATGCAGCATGGCTCAACAGGGAGCAAGTTGTTGGAAGACACATTCAGCATGGTGAAACATCTCTCTACAGTTGATGTGCAGAGTAAAGAGGCTGTAAACATGAACATAGTGAAATATCTGTAGTATGTGTTGATTTTTTTCTAGTGTTGGTGGACACTTGGAAACATGTTGATTATAGTTTTTTTTAAATGACTAATCAAAGAAATGTCTCTTTCTCTGATTTGTTTCATTCTAATTGTGTCTCAGTGACAGAAGACATTGCTGAGTTCTCTCTCCTTCTTCATGGTTGTTCTGTTTCCACAGAGCTGCAGGACTTTAGATTGCGGGAAAAATGAGCCCATATTGAGAAAAGATAAGACAGAAACTGCTGCTGGAGTTCAGGGGGTTAAACTGCCTCCTGAGGGACAATAAATATATTTGAACTGAGTTCAACGTCTCATATTCAGTAACAAGTGTCTCTATATTTGAAGATTCAGCTCAAGTTTTGAATGTTGAGACAATCAGACACAAATAGTGATTATTGATCTGTGAAGTCCTGCAGGGTCTTTAGGACAAATGATTGAACGTAACCACAGCTACACGATGTCGTCTAATTACAAAATCAAACATGACATGTTATGTTACATTACAGACACGTCTCCTCACCTGTACTCTGATGTTCCACTCTGTGTTTGATGTGGTTGAGTCTTTGTTCCTCTGAGTTCTTCCTCGAGTTCAGAGAATTAATCACAGAGCAGCTGTAGCTTCCAGCACTCAGTAGGTAAAACAGTATCTCCTATAAAGAGAACAGAGGATTTTAATGTGTGTCAACATCAGTCCAGGTTCCTGCTGCTGCAGGTTGCACAGTGATGTTCCCACGTGGCTGAACAAGGCAGGAAACATTTCATACAGTCTGATCAAACATCTGCTGGTTTTTCTTTATTTTCTAACACACACTCAACATCTTTATGTTCTAACCTTCATAGTGGCCTTTTCCACAGTTCAAATATAAATAACCATATTGTTCATCTTTGTAGAACAACAGGTGGAAATTATCCTAAGCCTGCAAAACAGTCAACATCCCAAAATGTCAGAAAAAAAACAGTTAAAACATTTAATATACAATGTCTAATGCAACTTTACATATATATAAAGTTAGTCAGAAACAGTTGAATAAAATGTAAATTTGAATTAGTCAGGATAAGTTAATTATTAACACTCTAAGTGCTTAATCTTAATATATAAATTGTAAACTTGTACACCTGAGCATAAACCTGTCCCATGCTTTATTGCGTGTTCCCCTCCCCCAGGTGTTCGCTCGGTGGCAGGTCTGGGCGTGGACGACCTGCGCAGGTTGTGCATTGTGCGGCTGAGCTTCGTGAAGGGGTGGGGCTGCGACTACCCGCGGCAGAGCATCAAGGACACGCCCTGCTGGCTGGAGGTTCACCTGCATCGAGCGCTGCAGCTGCTCGACCAGGTGCTGCACACGCTGCCACCGCGAGAACACGCACTCTGACACACACACCTGTGGCGGAGCAATACCTGACAACTGATATCTGATGCCTGAAGACTGACACCTGAAAACTGACACCCGACATCATGTACAGTCAGTACTGATAAGCTCCGCCCACATTCTCCCCCTCGCAGGTGTTAACAAACACACCGTAGCACCTCATTGGTCGTTTTAGACAATCAGCCAATCGCAGCATCTCATCCCTGCTGTCATTCATATCAGTTCCCATGGATACCAGCGGCCAGGGTGACACAGTAGAGAGCCAGTTCATACAAGTTATTGCTATTATTATTATTCCTGTTATTATTATTCGTCTGGGGTGGCAGATTTCTGTGTGGCTGATACAGACAGATGAGCTGACATCGCCCTCTGCTGGTTGGTTGCAGTGCCTGCCATAAGCCCCGCCCCCTATACAGTTACTAATCTATCTAGAAAATGAATAATTTGGGTGAAGTGAGCCTTTGACTGCTGGAAAACATGTTGACAATCAGCTGTTACCAAAAACAAGCCCATCATCATGTCTCTCATCATTTTTTCTATTTTATTTTGGTCTTTTTATTTTGTGTCGGACGGTTTCCTTTTCACTTTATAATTTATTTTTATCATCTTCCAAACTTTCAGCCCTTTTTGATTACATCATATGTTGTGTCCACTGTGATTCCTCTCTGACCTGTCAGATTATTTATTCTGTCATCAGGTTTCTTTCTATCTTTTATCACGTTTTATATTTTATCTTTTTTATACTGAAAGGATCCAAAATTCTGTAACATGTTGTTTATTCAAATTAAACTTTTATGATTAAAATAAAAATAAATCACTGCTGCTTGTGCATCTTTGTTTTCTCCTAGTTTGTAAACATTGAACTGTAAAATTAGATTCTTTATTCAGTTTTTATCTTTAAAATACTCTTTATAAAACTTTAGACTTTATAGCTATTAGAATTTTATTTACACATTTCAACAATGATTTTTATTATGTTTGATTGCCCTTAATTTCAGTATTTTATTTTTCTGAGTGATAAAATGAAGTCTTTATTGTATCCTGTAACCTGAGCCCTCCTTGTAATGATTAAAACTTTATTTTTATCTTTTTTTTTTTTAAACGGAGTTATTGCAAAGTAACCACAGCTGTAAAATAAATGTACACTATAAAAATGCTTTTAAACAGTTTTATTTATAAGATTTTTTTCAACAATTTACTTTTATTTAAAAAATCTTTACAGTTAACTAACATATAATGGCTAGTGAAATCACAGAACGATCATTTACATGCTGACTGTACAAAAAAGGTCCAAAATAAGTATTTGTACAAACATTAATTAGTATTTTTACAAGATGTTACTGTAGAATTACACTGTTTTCCTGTATTTAAATAAGCTAAAATAATAATTTGCAGATTTTTTTTTTAAAAATTGATTTTACAGTTCCTGAACATTGCAGTATTTCACCATTGAACCTTTATATTTTTTGTTGTTTGATTTGATTTGTTGTAATTATTTGAATGACTTTATTAAAGTTTCTGGGCAGACTGCTCTGAGTCCAGTTCTGCTCAACATGTCCTCAGCGTGAAAACAACAGAAAACCTCTTTATTTACTCATTTTAGTTTATTTCTGCTGCCAGAGAGTCAACCAGCAGCTAATTTACGCAGCAAACAACCACAGAACAAGAGTTCCACAACATAAAGCAACACAGCACCATGAGGACTGTCAGCAATGACTTCATCATTTCATGTTAATATTTTAAATTTGTTGTGAGGATAATTTGTTTTATCCTACCGACTTCGTTCTTTGGATGGTTCTCAGCTGGAATATTCATTTTCTTCAATCTTCTGCAGATGGGGATTCATCTCGTCAGCCAGTATTTTGGTTTTTCCACAGACATTCATACTGCATCCATAAATGTCATCACCCCAACACTTTTTGCACTCATGCAGCCCCATATCATCACACTATCACCTCCATGCTTCACTGTCAGGACTATGCATTCACTGTAGTCGTCCTGGTCAGGTTCTTAGCAAACATGCTGGACTCCATCTGACCCCAGCTAATTTATCTTGGTCTCATCTGTGTTTAACTGATTTGCTCACTGATCTTCCTGAATCCTTCTCCATCTTCCAGAAGTCTCACAGTCAGATTTTGCAGATCCTCTAGTTATTTTCTTCTCCATAAAGAGTCATGATGCAGACATGCAGATAGTCACATTTCATAGGTCCAATACTGAGAAAGTTCTGCTGTTCACTGCTCATTTTAGAACCATGTTTGTGCAGTTAGACTGACTGGAAATCACAGGTGTACTCATTTTAATTTTAAGGGATCGCAGGTGGATGCTTTGAGTTTCTACTTTTGACCCTGAATTTTCAATATAGTCTTTATAATGATTAGTTTCTGATTGTTCATCAAAGGAAATATTCTACTTCGAAATAATAGTGTTTGTACAGTGATGCAGTTAAGAATCATTTGACATTAAAGTGATTTTACACAGAGATGCTGTAATAAACTGTATTTACCTGCTGACTGTACTTTATGAATGAAAAACAACTTGAAGGTTTCAGTAAAATATGGCGCCAATAAGGACAAAGAGTGAGCGCCTGTAGAGTTTAAATGTTTCCTTCTCACCTTCTCATTGGTTACCTTAAAGTACCGCCTTTGTACCTCCAACCAATCGTTCACAAAAATTCTACATAATAAGATGATAGGGAGGGCCCTATTGAGTGGCTCACGTGTGGACCAATGAGAAACCGTGATACAACAATATATGAATATTGATGAGCAGGGGGCGGGGCCTATGAGTGGAGGTCGGGCAGCAGCGAACATGGAGGTTTAGTTCTCGGCTGATGTCCACCAGAGCAGGAGGGCCTCACTAAACCGTTTCACTTTTCCTTTGTTATACTTTGTTTTTTCCGCCCTTCTTTCGACATGGACATGAAGAAGAGGATCAGCCTGGAGCTGAGGAACAGAAAGCCCACCGAGGTGAGTAACTCTAGCCGCGGAGTTTAGTTATTTCCTGGACGGACTGGTGGAGGATGCCGAGTCCAGCCGACATGACGATGCTGGAAACACTCGGTAGGAGCGGACGTCGAGTTTCTTTGGCAGCAGCGAACCGAGCTACTCTGTCCGACATTTTGTCTCCAAAAGCTCTTTGACTCCAACATGGAGGAACGTGCGCTGTGCTCCAGCAGCCCGCCGCGTGCAGCTGTGCTCCGTCTCGCGCTCTCACTTATTGCCCGCTCGTGGGGGAGAGAGAGACTCGCGCGAGCCACCAGCAGCTAGCATTCGAGCTAACAGGACGAGCACCGGGCTGCTAACAGCCGCGGCGGGTTACCGGGCTGACGGTCGGCGCTGTGCTCGGTCTTAAAGAGAAAGCACAGTCGCGCGTGGTTTCTCGTTTTCGGTTGAATTAGTTTCAGTGCCGTCGGTTGACCGCAGGACCGAGCGGACTCGTATTTTAACCTTCAGTGTAGAATAGCTGGTTATTCTCGATGCCTAGACAAGACTCCATTTGTAAATCCCCAACTTTTAAGTTAACTGGGACACAGCCAACGAAGGTAGTGTGCTGCAGCGTCTTTAAAGACATTTTACATGTTCTCAGCTATTACAGTTCTGTTCGGCTCACACTTGGATCAGAATCGGCGCTTTTTTGAGGGTGGACTGTAAACTTTAGTGCTTCAGGCTGCTGTTCCCGCCCACTCCGCTGTGTTTTGGTAGCTGAGCTCTGAGATGTTTCTAATCTGATGGCGCCTCAAGCCAAACTCCATTCTAAAATTTCTCACTTTAAAGTTTTATTTGAACAGACCGCGGTGCTTTTCTGCCCCTCCGCCATTAGAGGCTGTTTAAATCTTATCGGGCACGCAGTTCCGTCGGCCACACTTAATCCAGACTGTAAAGTTAAGAGGAGGCTGGGCCGCTGTTCCCGCCCACACGGCTCTGTTTTGGTGGAGAAGCTCCACGATGCTCGTAAACTGGTGGCCAGACTCCATTTTAAAATCCACAGCTTTTAAGTCGACGCAGTTACAAGCCGAAATGTTGTCTGCCCCACCACCTGTAAAAGTCTGATGCATTTCCTGAGGTGTTCCGGGTCGGTTCGGCCCACTCTAAATCCAACATCGACTCGTTATTCGGATCAGATTTAAAGTTTGCAGAGTGGTTCAGCGTGCTGCTTTCTCCATTCCACTGGGTCTTGGTGGTACAGCTCTGGTCCAGCGGTTCTAAAATCACACAAATCTTACGTGGAGTTTGGTTTGAGGCGGACCTAATTGCTGATCATGCACACAGCGGAGCTGTTTTCAGTTTGGTTGATGAAGCGGTGATTATTCGGAGTGTCAGCACAGTTTCCCTCCATTACCGAGACTCTGCCGTTTACCGACGTTGACGCACAGTCACACAAACAGCTGTGGTATTGACCCTGATCGATTGATCAGAGGTGTTTAGGTCACATGGGTCCCTCCTCGTCTTGCCTACCTGCTTTCATGTGTTCCTCTGTGCTCAGGCAGACTGAATGGACAAAAACTGTACTAGAATAGTTTTCTTACTTTAAATTGTTTTTACTGGCTGTTTAGTTACTTTGAACAACTTGTTCTCTAGTCTAGTCAATTCTCTGATTTCAGTTTTATTCTTCTTTTACTGTTTTATGGTTAAACATTCTAACAATAATTTTCTGGATTTCAGTTTGGTCTATAAAATAGAATAATGATGAGCAGTGTTTTCCAAAGCTCGGGTCGCCGGTGTGAATATCTTCTGTTTCTGTCCTCCTCTATGACAGTAAACTCAATACATTTGGACAAAACACTTGTCATTTTGGACTTTTTATAGACAAAAAAAAACTGATTCACCCAGATCAGATTATCAGCTGTTTGCTTTGATGTTAAGTTTGATTATTTCATATATTTGGGCATATTTAAACTAACAGCAAGGTATTAACAAACGGAAGCAGAAGAAAAGGCACAACCTCACTGTAGCATTTTATTACAGCAGCCATCAGTAACAGCTGGACACAGAACTGAATGACTGAATTGACTATTGTACCTTCTCTTCACTTATAATTTACATATCCTGTTATTTGGGTTAATTTAATGTCTGCTTCGGTGGCGTTGGGCTGCAGTCTGTGTTGGTGACGTCTCACATGGTGTATTGTGTTCAGGTGGCGGAGCTGGTAGTGGATAACTGTCGCTCAGGTGACGGGGAAGTGGAAGGTCTGACGGATGAGTACACAGAGCTGGAGATCCTCAGCATGGTGAACGTCGGCCTCAGCTCGCTCGCCAAACTGCCATCGCTGCCCAAACTACGCAAGGTGAGTTCACCTGTGCTCATCACCAGGTGTCTCTGGACAGCCCCCCTTTTATTATAGAAAAAAATAGTTCATAAAAGTAATCATTACTAACATCCTAAAACTGAACTGTCAGTTGATCTATAGAATACTGTGTGTACATTGGTGCAGCTGTAATGAACCAAGCATAAGTATTTCAGTACTTTAATTACATCCTACTCAATGCACCTAAACACTTTCAGTTGAGTATCATTATTTATTGTATTCTTACAGTGTGTTATTCTGCACTGTTTAATAACCAGCATCCTAAAGACAGAACCAGCAATCAATGACACAAGGAAAACAATGTAGCAAAATACATGAGCGGGGTTATTTCTGCAAACTGTTTCTGTAGAGTTTGTATTGTGTTGTTTTGTTGTGCCGTGTCAGAATGAGTGTTTGCTGTGTTTCAGCTGGAGGTCAGTGATAACACCATCGCAGGAGGTTTGGACACACTGGCAGAGAAATGTCCAAACCTGACGTACCTGAACCTGAGCGGGAATAAAATCAAAGAACTGAGCAGCATCAAGGCGCTGGTAGGTCTGAGCAACTGAAACACCTTCAATCACACCTGCAGCGTCGGACCTGATGGCTTTAACTAAATACTGCAGACTTGAATGTTAATATTATTAAAATCAATCCAGTGAGAAAATGTGTTGACGATTAGCTGTAGTACCTGGTTGTTCCACTGGATGGAGCCTCGTACTGTTTAGTACAGTAGACAACAGAGGAGGTGTCACTCAGACTATAGGCAGTTCATGTTGGCAAGCAAAGAGCATTGTAGGAGTTTAGCTCGCAACAGGCACCATGACATTGACTTATGTGGAGGTTAAAGACCTCCAAGCAGAGTTAATATAATCAAAACCACCCTTCATTAACACAACAAGAACATTACTAAAAATTTGCCACCCTAGTAGAGACATATTTTCAGATGCATAATTTCTTTCAAAATGTTTACACTTCTCTAATAATTATTCTCCTTACCTACTAGTACAAACCAGCCCAAAACAGATTGTGCGTACAGGTCAAACAGAAGTTTTCCAACTTGACAGAGACTTTTAAAGACGCTGCTTCGGTTTGGACTGTTTATCTGAGATGTTCTGTGGTGTCGTCCTGCAGCAAAACTTGAAGAACCTGAAGAGTTTGGACCTATACAGCTGTGAGATCACCACGCTGGACGACTATAGAGAGGGCGTGTTTGAGCAGCTGCCACAGCTTACGTACCTGGACGGATACGACCAGGAGGACAATGAGGTGCCCGACTCCGAGGCCGATAACGGTGAGTCCAAAAATACCAGCCACAATACAGGTTGAGAGACCTGCAAACACTGACTGAAAAGCCGGTATACACCAACCCAAAAAAACAACACACTGACCAAAAAACCTGCAAACACCTCCCCAAACGCAGACCGAAACACACACAAATGCTAACTTACACCTTGACTAAAAAAACCAAACAAAAACATATTAATACAAAACCAAGCGCCGACCAAAACGCCCACAATGATTAAAATTGCCTGCAAACATCAACTCAAAAGCCGACATAGAGACTTTAAAATAGCAATCAAAACGCAAGACACAGACAACGGTGAGCCCAAAAAACAGCCGAAATACAGACAGAAACACCTGCAAACAGTGACCCAAACAACAACAATATATGTTGGGATTATTCCATCAGATCATCAGACTTCTTCTTGACCACCTCTAATCTGATGAACTTTTTGCTATAAGAAATATATCTGTATGTTTAAAGTGGAATCTGGATTTTTAGATTGATTTATTGAATACTGAATGTACTGGGAGGCTGCAGGGTGGCGCAGTTGGTTAGCACTGTTGCCTCGCAGCAAGAAGGTTGCCGGTTCGTGTGTGGGGGCACCGGAATCTTTCTGTGTGGAGTTTGCATGTTCTCCCCGTGCAGCGTGGGTTCTCTCCAGGTTCTCCAGCTTCCTCCCACATGGTCCAAGAACATGTTGAGTTTAATTGGTGATTCTAAATTGTCCGTAGGTGTGAATGTGAGTGTGCTTGGTTGTCTGTCTCTAAGTGTAGCCCTGCGATGGACTGGTGACCTGTCCAGGGTGTCCCCTGCCTTCGCCCTAAGTCAGCTGGGATAGGCTCCAGCCCCCCAGCGACCCTAATGAGGATTAAGTGGTGTATAGATAATGGATGGATGGATGATTCTAGACACACAAGTTCTAATGGATGGATGAATGTACTGGAATACAAAGTGGATCCTACAGGAGATAAATTTACAGTAAAACATTTTGATGTTTGGTTCCAGACGATGACGATGAAGGCGGTCCACATGGAGACCTTGATGACGACGAGGACGATGAGGAGGACGACGAGGAGGGCTCCGACGGAGACGAGGATGAGGTCGGCCTGTCGTACCTGATGAAGGAGGGAATCCAGGTGAGTCTGCATGTTGTTGTTCCACTGGTGACCTCTGGGCGGCGCTCTTCATCCAGCTTACAGTTTCCTGATGGTATTTCCTCCTTTCAGGACGAAGAGGACGACGGCGACTATGTGGAAGAGGAGGAGGACGAAGAGGAGGAAGAGGAGGATGGAGGTTTGTCATGAAAGGAAACATTTTGTTCAGAAACACAACATGAGGAGGTTCTACTTGTTTAAACAAGTGTTTCTCCTAAGAGCAGAACACTCGGCGTTTATCCGCTTTATTCTTCATTCATTCTCACAAAACACTAAATTTTTTGCAGCAGTTTTTCTTAAAATAATAAAAAAAATTGTTTCTTAACTTTAAGCTTAAATCGTTCTTCCTCACAGAGCAGCAGTACTTTGTTAATCATTATTACACATGTAGAACTTGATAAACTGTTTAATGTAAATGTACAGTGTTTTATTGACACATTACTACTTTATTCTTGAAATAATTGTATTTTTCTTGAAATTATGTGACCGTTGTTAGACTGTACTCTCAAAATATTCAGATTATTATTTTTATTTTAACTAAAAAAAATTACACATATAGAAGTAGATCAAATTTATTTCAAAATGTCCGAATTTTTTCATGAACAGTTGTTCATAATATTCGGACTTTGTTCTTTTATTACAGAGCAATCTTTGGTGTCAGTATTTTTTCTCTAGTCAGCCTTTTGTTTTTATCCTATTATTTATAACTGCTTATCGACTCATTTATGTGTCATTGTGTTTGTGAAACAGTTTCATGTGAAATATTTGAAGTATCTAACTGTTAATTTGTGGTTTTGTCAGATGAGGACGGAACAGCTGTTCGAGGGGAGAAGAGGAAGAGAGACGCCGAGGACGAAGGTGACGATGATGACGACGAGTAGTTGGACCGCCTTCACTCGCTATACCACCTGACCCCGACCTCTTCTCAGACTCCGCCCCCTCCGATGACCTCTGACCCCTGTTGGCCTCAGAGCTGCAGACTGGCAGGAGGTTCAGCTGAGATCAGGTTCAGGAGCTCACTCACCTGCATTTACCTGCTCATAGCTGATGACGTCATCGTTACCTTGGTGACGTTATCAGCTGACAAGCAGGTAACTAATCAACAAGCTGACTGATCAACAATCCTGATTGGTCTTAAGTTTTTCTACAACCACAGCTGCTGTGAAATCTTATTGATTATCAATCAGCTGACCTCAAACACATCTGACAGGTTTGTTTCTCAATAGTAAAAAAAATATACGAATATGTATAAACTATTCAAGTCACATCTCATAATGTTAAAGTCTCACCTTCATGATTATGCATAAGTGATAATACTGGAACTTAGGTTACATCACTTTAATATTAATTTCATTTTGTGCTGCTTTCACTTTGGTAAAGCATTTGAACAGAAACACGCTGCATTGATCTAAAAATAGACTTTCAGCGCCGCCATTTTCTCACTTTCGAGCATTGTTAAATGAATCATTTAGCAATTTATTGATCTGATATCGATCAAGTCTTCAAATACGAGGTGTGATCAAAAAGTTCAGAGTCTGCTTCTGTAAAATTCAAAACTGATTTAAATTTAATCTCCATTTCACTTGAAGTGTCTTCTTGTGCAGTGATGCTCTGCTTCCAGAGCTCCTGCAACACTTACAACATTCCAACGTAACGGTGATTTTATTGTTGTGGACAAAAAAACCAAATGCATTTTCAGAGTGTCACAATTCAGATGGTTTACTGATCCGTCCCTAACCCTCCAAGCTCTCAGCGGTTTGTCTAATTTTTCCTCACTGTGGCTCAGTTTCCACTGCAATATAAAGTCCTGCAACTCTGTGGAAGCAGAACAACCATGAAGAAGGAGAGAGAACTCAGAAATGTCTTCTTTCAGTATGACACAAAATGATAGAAATCAGGGGGGGAAAAAACAACATTTATTTGATTATTTATTTTACAAAAGTGTAAAAACGTGGAATCAACAAGTCCAACATGTGTCCAAGTGTCGACAGATGTTACAAACACTGGGGGAAAAAATGGAGGCTGCACATACTATAGATAATAAAGTATTTCCGTGTTTACAGCCTCTAAAAACTTTTTCTCTCTATCAGCTGTAGAAAGATGTTTCACCATGCTGAACTGTTTTTGAGCCATGCTGCGTTCAATTTATTGATCCAGTTCACCTGTAAACTCAGAATTTTTCATATCAGCTATGGAAAATCAGTCTTAAGCAGGAGTGAAGAACTTTTTGTTTTTTACATTTGGTAAGAGCAAACATTTAATTTAGCTAATTTTTAAATGAGACTTACAAAATAAGATATGGCCCATCACAGATCATTACTTGAAGTTGGACCTTTGGAAAGCTGAAAATGTGCTGATTCTTTGTTTTTACCGTTTTTTAATGATAAATAGTGACATTATGGAGAATTTTTATTTTTTTTCCCCCAATATACCATGTTTCAAACCTGCCGGCAGGTTTTGGGGCTCAGAGATTTAAATATTGAGTTAAATCTTTTGCTCACAAATGATGGAAACTAGTTTTGTTGCTGTGCTGAAAGAAAAACAGGTTTGATTCAGTAAAAAGAAAATCGTAGATTCTGTTAAATGCAGCAAGTTTCAGTAGAACCTGTCAGCTTTGTTTGATCTGTCAGTTTATTGATTATCGCTGTGGATGATCGTCGTGATCGAACTGATTTACATTTGCTGTGGAGAAGATTTGATTAGGTGTAGACAGGAACTCAAATTCTGGGTTCTCCAGTTCTCCCAGTGAAACCAGTTCAGCTTTTATTGGTTTCTTCCATTTCTCCTGACCCTGAGCTTAGCTTCTCTTCAAACTTTCCTCCGGTCAGTCTGCTCTGTGACTCTGAATACGACAGTACCCAGAAAATTTCCGCAGCTGTCGCCATGGAGACCCTTCCACTCAGCGCTGTGACATCAGAACTGTTTCCACTGCAGCTGCTGATTGGTTCAAAAGATAATCCCGTTAAGATTTCTGCTCTCTGATTTGATGTGTCTCAAAGCAGTGCACTCTGGGACTTGTAGTTGATGCCTCCTGGTGTTTGAACTGACTGTTAATGCATTAACCCCGCCCCCTCTCACCTGCCACCTGTCCGTCTGCAGCTCCCCTTCTGGCTCCTCCCAGGGTCTCAGTGGGCCTCAGTGGGTCTCAGGTCCATGTAAATAGAAGTGAACTGGTCTGTGTAGGTTTTGTGGTGTCGTCTCCTTGACCCTGACTTGTCGTGTTGAGTTTGGAAACGTGCAGCCGGAGTCGACTCTCCTCGTCTCCGACTTAATTTTATTTTTTTATTCCTGTCTTCTGATCGTGTTGCTGTAACCGCCGTGTTTTTGAATAAAAACTGAATTCTCCACGTTTCCTCTCAGTCTGGTCGCTTGACAAAACCACAAAAATTTGCTGACTTATTTCATCTTTATTTAGCTCATCAGCTAAACAATAATTTAGGTTGTCAGAGATTCAGGTTATGGAAAGAAACTAATTGAGTTTAACATTTATTTTTACATTTTTCTTTCAAAAGTGATGGTAGATATAATAACAAATTTTGCGTAATATAAACTTCACCAGCAGAAGACAGAAACTCAAATTTTAATAATTTAAATGCAAAGTTTTTGTCCTGGGATTAAAAAAAAATCTAATTTTTGTCTTGAAAGTTTTTTTGTTTTTATGCAAGGCAAGTGGGCTTATTTACCGTTGTAGAAATATAATTTCCTCCTGAATTTCTTGGTTTAGTTTCATTGTTCATTCCTAAATATGGGTACTAAATCCAACACGCTGTATGAAACAAACACGTGACTGATAGTAAAAGTAAGTGGAGATTAAAATATAGTTGCTTTGACATGAAAATAAAATAACGAAAACCTGATTATAAGATAGAGACAATGAAATAACTCCATAAAGTTAGGTTAGGCATAAAAGACATAACATAGCTTTATCAGGTTTTAGGCATAAAATATAAAAGAAATAGAACTGGATTAAGAGATTCATGAAACATTTTTAAAAAGAAGCTAGAATTAAAGTGATCAAATAAATTAAAAAGTGCTGCTGTAGATGCAGCTCTCTGCCTGCAGGAGGCAACACTGCATCACAGCATCCTTTGAACAGCCTTATTTCTCTCAGGTGTTTCAGGTGCTTATTAAACCTGGAAACAAAACAATTTTCAAGTTCCTTTATGATTCCAAAAAACTTACAAGTCAAGATACACTTTAAACTTGCCTTTATATACTCGGCTTGTTTTAGTTCTGCTGCAAATACGATCATTGATCAATAAGATCAATAACTTCTAATCTGTGTGTGTGTGTGTGTGTGTGTGTGTGTTTGTAGCTGACACACACTCTTCATCGGCTTTCCGGAACTCACGTGTTGAGTGTGTGTGTGGGCTCTTCTCTGAAGCGTTCTGTTTCCCTTATATGGACGTACAGGACAGTGAGGGGCGGGGCCTAACAGACTGTTTGACTTCTATAACAGAGAGCTGAAATTAGAAAGTAAATAAATAAAGGCATGACAGTTTTTTTTTTTTTAAACTAACTTTCCTTTCACCATAACCTAATCTTTAAACAACCTTCACTCAGAAATTTCAAGATTTAGCTACACACACATCAAACCGTTGGTCTCAGGTGAGTGTGTGTGTATCTCAGGTGTGTGTCTGTCAGATTAGTTTATGTAAATAGTTTTGCCTTGATTTGTTTTGATTATGCGACGTTTCCAGACAAACAAAGCAGACTGACCTGATTCACTGACTGCCGAGCCACCGAGATGAGGCAGCACCTGTCCACCTGACCTCTGAACTCAGGTGTGTGCCTCATGTCACGGGTCGACACGGAGACACTGCTTTGTCATGAAAACAAATCTAAAGCACAGAGTTTGCATGCAGTTTGAATGAAATGTCTCACTTGGCACAGGTACTTTACATTGGTTCTACTTGCTGACACTGGAGCACACCTGGAGTGGGTCTGCTTTATGACCAGTTGTTTTAGACTCGCTTTCGACCTGTTGTAGAGCACACACACACACACACACACACACACACACACACACACACACTCTCTCTCTCTGTCTGAGGTCTAATTAGCAGTTGCAGTTTCCTCGTTAGCACCTTTTAATGAAACAGATCCAGGTTCAGTTTGCAGCTTTTATTTTAGCACATGAACTGATCACAGCACCAGAACCTGCTTCACTACCGCACTACATCTCCCATCGTCCCCTCTGGGCTTCAGGCTCCAGCAGCAGAACAAACCACACTATTAAAATTCATTAAACAGGTGAGACGGGCAGGTACAGTCCACCAGTCAGCCGCTCCATCTGTTCTACAGTCTCAAACATCAGGGGAACCACCGCCACTCATTAAAGGAACATTTCCAGTTTCAGACATAACGTTGGTTCTGCTTCGTATAAGTTCACATTTGTACCTTCTGGTTGAGCCTCTGTTGAATCTGAGCAGGTGGAGGTTCAACATTTGACTGTTCTATCATCTTCACACTTCTCAAGCAGCTTCATTAGTACAAAATGTAGCTTTAAAAAAATAAACCTCTTCTCTGAATGATTGTTTGTACCTGCACAGGTGCATGTTTGATTCCTCATGCATCACTTTAACATGACAGTCATTTAACAAACTCATGAAGATTACAGTCTTGTTCAAACAAAACAAAAAAATATTAAAACTGTTCATTGGTCCAGTTATGCAAAGTTTGTCTAAACAGGATCAGGACCTGATGGAAGAAAAAATACTTTTGAAATGTCAAAATGCTGGCTTTTGAAATCTGAATTTTTATATTTCAGCATAGAATCAAGTGACTTAAATTTAACATTAAATCACATTATTTTGTGATTGTGTAAAGAAATATTTAATGACTATTTATACTGTGCTCATGGCAATGACAGTTATTACTTCATGTGCTAAAAAGTTTTGGGTCTCTTTCAAAAAACAAAACAAAAAAAACCTATCAAACATGTACCGACTATTTAGTTTGAATTCATGAAAACAAGTCATGTTGCCTTTTTTTGTTTTTTTGCCATTTTAAACAAAAAATAAATACAGTATTCAATTAGTTTTGATTATTAATATTATTTGATTTAGACTGTAACATAGTGAAACATGTTTCAGTCCAACTTATGGTTTCAACTTCAGAAGTTTACCTGCAAACAACAAGATGTCTGTCCTTAGCTGCTTAACATGAGCTAAACTTCGCTAGTTAACCTTTGTTCGTAGCATAGCAATAAAGGACACATATTTTGAAAATCAGTTTAAAACATTTTTTCAGCAAGTTGAGCCAGAGATGTTAGTTATGTATTAGCTCACCTTTCATCCATTTATGAAGCCCCAGCTGGCTAGTACCTGCTAATGCTAACTTATTCATAGCTAGCTAGCATTAGCCAACTAATGTGACCTCTCTAAATATAGACTCAACAGTTATAAAGAGTTCATGGTTTTGAGAATGACTAAAAATACTTTAACTGTGCAGACTGTGAGTTTGTACATTTAGTCAGCTAAAATTTTCTTCAAAGCTATCCGTTAACTACTGCATGAACATTCTGTATCCTACTTTCGGCCCAAAGGATGGAAAAAAAAATTGGTAACCGCGAGCTAGCAGTGTCCTTAGTTTACTGTAGCCAGAATGCCAAAGTTTTATTCCATAGTCATCATTAGCCACTTAATGCTAGCTCTTTGAATATTAGCTTAGCAGCTACAGAGGTCTGGCGACTAAAACACTTTAAACAAACTTCCACACTAAATCTGTACCAAGTGTTCACTAAATGT